TGAAAGGCAGAGTGGGAGAGAGAGAGAGAGAATATCTTTCACCTGCTGGTTCACTCCCCAAGTGGCTGCAAAGGCCAGGTGGAGCCAGGAGCCAGAACTCCGTCCGTGTCTCCCAGGTGGGTGACAGGGGCACAAGCACTTGGGCCATCTGCTGCTGCTTTCCCAAATGCATTAGCAGAGAGCTGGGTCAGAAGCAAAGCAGCCAAGACTGGAACCATTGCTCTGAAATGGCATGCTGGTATTGCAAAGAGTGGCTTAACTTGCTGTGCCACACTGTGGGCCCCAGTACAATAATTATCCAGCTTTGGAAAGGAAAGAACTTCGGCTACATGCAACAACATAAATGAGTCTTGAAAACACCATGCAAGGGGCTGGTGTTGTGACGCAGCAGGTTCTGCTACTTGTGATGCCAGCATCTGATGTCGGAGTGCTGTTTGGAGTCCCGGCTCCTCTGCTTATGATCCAGTTCCCTGCTGTTGTGCCTGGGAGGGCAACAGATGACAGTTGAAGTGTGTAGTCCCCTGCCACCCACGTGGGAGACCTGGGTAGAGTTCCTGGCTCTTAGCATCACCCCAGCCCAGATCTGGTGTTGTGACCATTTGGAAAATGAGCCAGCTGATAGTTGATTTCTCTCCTTCTCTCTACCTCTCCCCCCACCCTGTTCTGCCTTTCATGTAAATAAGTCTTTAATAAAAAAAAATGGGGGGTGATGCTGTGGCACACTGGGTTAAGCTGCCAGCTGCAGTGCCGGCATCCCATATGGATGCTGGTTTGAGTCCTGGCTGCTCCACTTCCAATCCAGCTCTCTGCTATGGCCTGGGAAAGCAGAAGATGGCCCATGTCCTTGGAAGACCTTTCTCTCTCTGCCTCTCTGAAACTCTTTCAAATAAATAAATAAATCTTTTTAAAAAATAAAGAGAACACTATGCCAAGTGAAATACGGAGATGCAAAAGGACCAATACTGTAAGAGTGCACTGGTAACTCATGGGGGAGGAGGCAGTGTGGTGGGTACCAGAGGCTGGGAGGAGGGGCGTGGGTGGTCATGATTTGATGGGTGCAGAGTTTTGAAGGATGATGAAAGTTATAGAAACAGAGGGTGGTGACAGCTAACAACAACGTGTGTGTGCTTAATACCCTGACTTGCACTCCTGAAAAAGGGTTAAAGGGATACATTTTGCTGTGTTTCGCCACGATAAACAACAAACAGATACCAGTGTGGCCCAGCACACCTGTGTCCTGGGGAACAGCTCTCCATGGGCCTTGGGTCTCTGCATGTCTTGTGAGCAGCACAGACTGCCCCTGTTCCAGACTGTGTCTCCAAGGTGTAACCATAGTGTAACAACAGTGCGTCCCTCTGGGGCACAGAGCAGAACAGTTGACTGCGTCTGGTATGACCAAGGCACAGTCTTCCTCTGTGGCAAAGGGCAGGCAGGCTCACTGCCTGCTATAAAACAGTCAGGTGCCCTCCGTCCCAGGTTCCTTCCCCGTGGGGCAACCCACTGCGCATGCAGTTACCATTTGGCAAATGCAAGATCTCCCATTTGAATGGAGCCACCCAGCAGACAGATCTCCCCCCTCTCTCCTTTTTTTCTCCATTATTCTACTTTTCTAATAAACAGTATATAAATCTTTTAAGAATAATCAATCATATTATCATGGGCATAGCCCATATGTTGTTTATCATAAGTCACCCGTCACTGGACACTTCGGTTGTTTCTACCTTTTGGTGTGAGTAGTGCTACTAAGAACTTGGGTATATAAACACCTGGAGTCCCTGCTGTCACTCCTTGTGGTTCGAATTTTTATTTTTTTAAAAATTTATGTATGTATTTGAAAGGACTACAGAGAGAGAGAGAGGGGGGAGGAGGGAGGGATGGAGGAAGAAAGAAAGAGAGAGAGAGAGAGAGAGAGAGTGTTTCCATCTGCTGGTTCACTCCCCGAGATGGCTGCAATGGCCAGGGCTGGGCCAGGCCAAAGCCAGGAGCCAGGAGCTCCTTCCAGGTCTCCTATGTGGGTTGCAGGGGTACTTGGGCCATCCTCCGTTGCTTTTCCCAGGCCATTAGCAAGGAACTGGATCGGAGGTGGAGCTGTTGGGAGTAGGTATCATGTGTGTGCACAGGAGGGGAGTAGGTTTCATGTGTGTACACAGGGCCACTACGACTTTTGCTAGAAGGTGGGAAAGCCTGGTGGAGAAGGTGTCATTTGTGTCACCACCGCAGAGGGACACACACAAGGGCACAGGCACAGCCACCTGGCATGGCCACCTCTCCCTCTGCACTTCTGAGCCAGGAGTCGCCCGGGCTCTGATCTCCTCCCAGGCTGCCCCCAGGCACCCACAAAGTCCTGTTCCTCTCCCACTGCATTGGCCCTAGACAGGGCCCAGTCCCACATGGCTGACTCTGGGGGTGAGGATGTGGAGTGGGGTGGAGGGCAGTTCAGGGTACAAGAAGACCCCAGCTACTGGGCTTCCGGGGACCTGAGTTTCTGTCTCTCGGAGATCCCAGGCCCTGGCAGGGCATCAGACAGGAGGAAGTGGCAGTGAAGGGTCTGGTGTCCAGGCTCAGAAAGAGTCATGGTCCCCTGGCCTCATGCCTGGCTGATGGGCTCCAGCGCTGGGTTGCCCTGGGCCTGGACATGAGCAAGGTGTATGCCTGGTGGGAATGCAGACCAAGGTTATGGGTCTTGGGACAGTCTCTGTAGGGCATCCTGGGTGGGGCAGGCCGGGCTGGTGGAGGAAGCAGCAGTCTGGGGCAGAGCTCGTGGCCTGGTGTGACGAAGCTTTCTGAAAGTGGATTGTAGAGGCTGGCGCTGTGGCTCGCTTGGCTAATCCTCCACCTGCGGTGCCAGCACCCCGGGTTCTAGTCCCGGTTGCTCCTCTTCCAGTCCAGCTCTCTGCTGTGACCCGGGAGTGCAGTGGAGGATGGCCCAAGTGCTTGGGTCCCTGGACCCGCATGGGAGACCGAGAGGAAGTACCCGACTCCTGGCTTCGGATTGGCATAGCGCCGGCCGTAGCGGCCATTAGGGGAGTGAACTAACAGAAGGAAGACCTTTCTCTCTGTCTCTCTCTCACTGTCTATAACTCTCTCTCTGTCTCTCTCTGTCTCACTCTGCCTGGCAAAAAAAAAAAAAAAGTGGATTGTAGCTGCCTGCGAGGGGAGTGAGCCCTCTGTCGTGGGAAGTATGCAAGCAGGAGAGGGCAGCAGCCCTGGGTGAGATGATCTTAAGGCTTCTCTGTCACCTGGGCTCTGGGGTCCAGGAGGAGGTCTTGTCTCTGCCGGGAGACTCAAGCCCTGGAAGATGCTAGGGATGGTGGGAGCCGAGCTCTTCCATGGGAAGTGGGGATCCGTGCAGCTCTCTCCACACTCAACCTGACACTTGGATAGCAGTGCTGCCTGCCATTGGGCCTCAGCGCCTGTCTGTGAGAAGGACAGGATCATAACTGGCACCAGACGCCCTGGTCGTGCCGTGATCTGTGCTCCCTGAGCTCCCTGAGGCATTGCCGCTGCGGCTGGCACCTCCATTCCCCAGCCCATCTTTGTGGTCACTCAAGACAAAGATTTTTAGAAGTTTGTATTGAGCCAGGCAACACCAAGGGCAGAGGCCTGTGGCTCCTCTTTATACACTGGATTCACTCAGCCAAGCTGGGGGTACATGCAGGTCTCTAAGGCAAAGCAGAGCTCCTCCCTGGTTCCCAACAGTTAGAGACAGGAGGAAGTCTGGCTGCCCTGACCCTCGACCCTCGACCCTCGGGCTGGTCTTCTCTGCCCCGCCCCAAGCCATCTATTACCGAGAGACCAGGTCTCGCGGTGGGTTTGCTGTTCCCTGCGGCCCACGAGGAAGCATCCCCTCTCCCTGGGTCCAGCCGTTGGTGCTCAGATCTGCATCCCCCTCCCGTGGCAGCACTGCCCCGCGGTGGCCGTGGGCGTCATCAGCCGTCTCTGAGCCCGGTTCCTCACCTGACGATGGGAGTGGTGGGACCCGCCACACAGGAATGCAGCAAGAGCAGCAAAAGCTCCATGCCTTGCACCTGCAGCAGCAGGGAAACAGCCCAGGCACAGGGGGCTCAGGGGGTGAAGGGCCCTCTCAGGTCATACGGCAAATGAGCAATGACCCTGGGGCTCGGACCCAGCTTTCCTGCCTCCTCTCCAGGAGCTACTGAGGTGACACAGAGATTGTTCTGGAAACCTCACTGGCAATGAACGGGGGGCCTCTCTGGCTGCCCTCGGGGGTCTGAGGCTTGACCCAGCAGCCTGTGATGGACGCAGGAGTGGGAGGCATAGGGTGCAGGTTCATAGGCTGGGCCCCGGGTTCCCAGAGACAGAAGCCTGTGTCCTACAGACTGAGGCAAAAGGGCCTTGACCAGCTCACACCACCAGGAAAGCCCAGCAGAAGGTGAAGCTTCAGGCACGGCTGGGGCCAGGCGCTCGACGGGTTTCTCTGGAACCTGTGTGTTCCTATCTCAACCCTGGCAGTCCCACCCGTGCTGGGACCCTGCCTGGCTCGCAGCTCAACCAGCTCTAGCCACTCCTGCCTCACTTCCTTACCAGCTTTGCAAACCCAGTGGAAAACCTGTCTCCTTCTTTCTGATGTTCCAGCAAAAGCCACAGAACCCACTCCGAGGCAGCCAGGGAAGATGACCCACCCACCCCTGAACCGGGCCTCTTCTCTGATTGGCAGGCCCAGGTCCTGGGTCTTGAAGACCTCAGACAAGGAAGCAGGTGATCCCCGAGGGGACCATCAGCGAGTGTTGCTGTCATTCTGAGAGAGGGCAGGAACTGGGAGAGCAGAAGCCACAGAGGAGCAGACCAATGAGCACCCATAGATAACTCAGAGCTGCCCGGGTTATCCGTGAGGATGGCAGATCCTGACAGTGCTACCTAGAACTGTAGCTACACAGGGTCCCCCCTCTCAATTTTTTTAATTCTTTTTTTTAAATTTATTTTTATTTATTTGAAAGGCAGAGTGTCAGGGAGGGAGGGAGGGAGAGAGAGAGATCCTCCATCTGCTGATTCACTCCTCAAGTGGCCCTACCAGCCAGGTTTAGGCCAACCTAAAGCCAGGAGCCCGAGATCCCATCTGGGTTCCCCACATGGGTGGCAGGAACCCAAGCTTGAGATATCTACTGCCGCTTTCCCAAGCACATTGGTAAGAAGCTGGATTGGAAGTGGAGTAGCTGGGACTTGAACCAGGCACTCTGCTTATGTGGGAAGAGGGTGCCAAGTATCCACCCCAGAGGTTCCTTCTTAAAGGGCCATCCAAGTAGCCTCCTCCACAGGGGACAAGCAAGTGGGACAGCTTGGGGGTCCAAGCAAGGCACACGAGCCTCTCACACTAGCTCCAGGGGCGCCCTGGGAGTCTCCCAGAGCATTGGGTGGGAGGCACTGCACACCCAGGGCATGAACATTTGGAAAGTGGGGCTCCAGGGGCCTTCCTCCAGGGGCTCTTTTGCCCGCCAGGACTGCTGTGGCCCCCGACACCCTTCAGTCGCTTTCTCCAGAGATCCTCCTGCTGACATTTCCTCCTCTACAAAGCGACGACAATGATCATGACAAGGAAAGCACTTTGCAGAAGGTTGGGCTCCTCTCCATGCCCCAAAACCCTTGTGCACAGGCACAGTCGGGAGGCTGCGCGTGTGCGCCAGCAGTGGGGGCGGGGTGAGTGGCAGGGAGACTCGGGAGATGCCAGTTCCCTCTCAACCCGGAGAGGCTGGACAAGAACCAAAGGAAGGAACTTCAACCCCCAATTCCCCCAGACAACCCCTTCCCCTTCCTTTCTCTCAAAATGACGACTTGGGGCCCAGCTTTCATTCTGGCTGAGCAGCAGGCAAGAAGGGGAAGTAGGAAAGATAAATCCGGTCCCTGCCCTCCTCTGTGGGACCAGAAGTCCTCTCCAGGCACGCGAGCGCTGTCCCTGCCCACGGTCCTCTGGGTGACAGGCACAGGCACCAGGGACACTGCCCAGGGCTGGGCCACTGGGTGACCGCAGCACAGAGGCCAGGATGGCCCTGTAAGGCAGTACGGGGCCCTGCTTCCTGGGCTCGGGTCACACAGCAAGGTGCCAGCGGCTCCCAGCCTGTCTGACTCCCCAGGAGAAGGAAGCCAGGCCTTGACCCCGTTGTGCCAGGGACACAGCCAGGGGGGTCCCCGGGGCCGTGTTTCCCAGCAGGCAGGCTGGCTAAGTTTGGGAAGCCTCTGGCCACCCCCAGCCAGGTCTGGGCTGGTTCCTGCCTCTGCAGGCTGTAGGTGGTGACTCAGCCTTCCAGCTCCCCTCACCACTCCGCCTGAGAAGGCTGCTGGGGGGAGGGGAGGCTGAAGGTCATCTGAAGGTCATCCCGAGACCAGAGGAGCTATTCAACCCCTGCAGCTGCAGCTCTCGTTAGCCCCTTCTTCTAGGCTGAGCTGCTTCTGCTAAGGAGCTGACCCTGAGCTGTCGCCCTAACTGAAAAGAAAAAACTGGCAGATTGTCCTTGCTGCGGGGTGGGGGCCATCCGTGGTTTTGCGCCTGGTGCACCTGCCATAGAGATGGGCAGTGGATGTGCGGTACCAGGGCAACACCCCGGGGCTTTGGGCTCAGCACTGGCCATGTCTTCCTGGTCAATGTCCCTGCCACTCCTGTGAGCCACACTGAGCAGGGTGAGGGTCTGAGACAAGGGTCTGAGCTCACCTGAGAGGGGTGGGTCAGGGGGAATAGGGGCTGGGGACCTGGTCCCAAGGTTGCCTGTGCTGGCCTCAGCAGGGGGGGCCCTGTCCCTTGCCCCAACCACGCTGTCTGCCTGCTCAGGCTGGCTGTCCTGGGCTGTGCATGGGCGCCATCTCATGGCCACAGGCCCTCAGAGCAGGAAGACACCTCTGCAGGTGGCTGGGACTGAGATGCATGTCCACCCCCAGGAAGCCCTCGAAGCTGCTCCCATTCCTGGTAAGGACGGTGACCCTCCCTGGCAGAAGTGGCCGTGGGAGGTCATTTTGAGGACCCAGAGAAGGGCTGGCTGCTGAAGGCCAGGCCACCTTGCCCTCCTGGGCCCCAGCACAGGGCTAATTCAGACCAGGAGGTCTGTGCTCCCAGCTGGCACAAGTGACTTCCCAGCACAGACCTGAATAAACAGTAGGTGCTCAATGCGTGCATAACTGATCAAGTGTTTATCAGGCAGCCCCAACCTGAGTTTTCTCCGTTTGGTCCAAAGTTGTGGCTCCTGCTTGCTTCCTCAATCCCCTTGCCTATAAAATGGGTTTGGAAGGAGATGGGTGCCGGGATGGGCACCTCGGCTCTGACACTCTGGGGCTCCTCACAGGGTAAAAGAGTTCTTGCTCCTGTGTGCCAGTCCCATCTCTCAACTCGCTGGTGTTCCGGGTGACATGTTTGCTGGGGAGGCTCAGAGAGGAGAGGAGCTTGTCCCGAGTAGCCCAGGAGCCCAGGCCTCAGTCTCCCAGGGCCGTGTGCTTCCCCTGCACCACCCTGACCCGCTGCAGCAAAGCCCACCTCCCCCAGGTCGCCCTCCTTGATTGCCAGCCTCCACCCTCGAGCTGGCCTCCCTGGGAGAGCGGGGAGCCGCCTCTCCTGCTCTGGAGGCCTGGCCATGGTGGCAAGGCTGGGGGGCACTCAGGATCCCACCCCAGTGAGCTCTCAGGGACTTCACTGTATCCCCACTGCCCACCCCTGTCACTCATGGGCCCCCAGCCTGCTGTGTGGAAGGGGCACTGTGGGGGCGAGGCAGGAGCTGATGTCACACAGGGGGAACTCAACAGGTGCTTGTGGAGCAGGGGGAGCATACTGAGGAGGGCAGGGGAGGGGGCTGCGTGAGCGGGCACTGAGTGGCCAGCGCGTGGAGGGAGGGGAGAGGGACATGGCAGCCACTCACGGAGGGTGGGAGGGAGACTGCCTGGCTGTTACAGCTGAGGTGGGGACAAGAAGTCTTTAATCAAACACCTGCCCATTTGACAGATGAGAAGACAGGGAGGGCTGAGGAGAAAGAGCTGCTGGGTCCATGGCTCTGACCCCCACCGCCCTCCCCGCCGTGCTGGGGCAGGTTCCGGGAAAGCGGGGGCTATTTCAGTCATTGAGGGCCCTGCCAGGAAACAGAGGAAGCCAGCGCCTGTCGGAGCTGGCCTGCACAGCCAGGCTGAGGGTGAGAGCCACAGGTCTGCATCCCTTCGCCGGAGCACATGTGAGACGTGGCTGCGTGTGAGTGTCAGCGTGGGCGCGTGGGCTGAGGGAGCGGGGTGGGCTGGATTCAGGGATGCCAAGGGGTTGGGGGGCCCAGAGGAGGGGGCCCAGCCTAGTTGGGGGAACAGAGAGCAAGATGGGGCCCGATGCACATTTAGGGAACAGTGAGGGGTAGGGGCCTGGCACGGGAGCCGGGCTCTCGGCCGCCCTGGCTGCATGGCTGTCTCTGTGGCGTGGCAACAGTGGGACAAATGGACCTGGGACAGCCCTGTCCTGCAACGTCAGGAAGGGACCTTGGGCTCTGCCTGGGCGACAGAGGATGCAGGGATGCCTACGTCCGAGCAGCCTGTTACACAGCACCCCGCCGGGCGGCCAGGGCAGCTGCAGTCCAGGAGGAGGCTGGGGTCCAAGCTGGCGCAGGACTCAGGCCTGAGAACAGGTAACGGACGTGACAGCCATGTCTGCTGCTGCTCGGAGTCTGGGGCCATGTGAGCCCTCCTCCAGGGCCAGCACCCTACACGAACACAGAGACTAGCTCAGCCCTTCTGCGCCCTGGGGAGGCAGAGTAGTAGGGAGTGTGGTGACTGCCCCCCAAGTGTGTCCAGAGGGCAACACGGCTCCCTGGACCCCTTCCTGCAGCAATAGGGAGGAGGGGGGCTACAGGGACCGGCCGCACCAGCAGTCAGCAGGACAGAGAGCAGCTGGCATCCCAGCACCTGAGGCAGAGGCTGTCTCGGGGCCACAGGGCCCCCAAAGGGAGGTCTAGAGACACAGACCCCCTACCCACTTTCTCCTCCCCACTATAACCTTCCGCCCAGCCCAGCCCACCCCCTCCCCACCTGGAGTGTCCTTACAGACCTCCGCCCCCAGGGAAGCCGCCCCACCCCACCCCGGAGCCACTGCATCCTGCATTGTTCTCTGAAAAGTCCCTGCCACCCTGTGGCTCACATGTGTCTCCCCCCTCAGACTACCACACTGGCTATATCTATGTATCTACATCCGTAGACTGCTATGCTCTCGAGCAGATTTTTAAAGATTTATTTCTTTGAAAAGCAGAAAGACACAGAGAGAGCGCTATCTTCCATCCCCTGGTTCACTCTCCAATTGCCCACAACATCCAGGACTGGGCCAGGCCAAAGTCGGGAGCCTGGAACTCAACCTGGGTCTCCCATGTGGGTGTCAGGGGCCCAAGTACTTGAGCCATCACTTGCTGCCTCCCAAGGGGTGCATTAGCAGGAAGTTGGGATGGGAGAAGTGTCTGGACTTGAATCTAGGTGTTCAATGTAGGATGTGGGCGTCTCCAGCGGCGTCTTATCCACTGGCAGGCAGTGAGCGCTGGCACGTGAAAACAAGAGGGTGAATGCTAAATGCATGAACAAGGGAACGCCTGCAACAGTGAGTGATGAGATGAATGAGTGAAGTTCTTTTTTAAAAAAAGATTGTTTTATTTGAAAATCAGAGTTACACAGAGCAAGAAGGAGAGGCAGAGAGAGAGAGAGAGAGAGAGAGAGAGAGAGAGGTCTTCCATCTGCTGGTTCACTCCCCAGTTGGCTGCTATGGCCGGAGCTGTGCTGATCTGAACCCAGGAGCCAGGAGCCAGGCACTTCTTCTGGTTCTCCCACGCAGATGCAGGGGCCCAAGCATTTGGGCCGTCTTCTGCTGCTTTCCCAGGCCATAGCAGAGAGCTGGATTGGAAGTGGACTTCAACTGATGCCCATATGGGATGCCAGCACTGCAGGTGGTGGCTTTACCTGCTACGCCACAGCGCCGGCCCCAAGTTCGCTTGCCCATACTGATCTTGGCTTCTGTGCTGTGGGGGCTGCCATGCTTCTTCCTGGCCTGAGCTGGGTACCCTGCGCTCCTAGTTCATGGGCTGAGGCCCTACCAAGAATATGGGATGTGGGGTGCAGAGGAGGTCATCCAGACATAACTTTGCGCAGAATTGCGATACAATCAAAATAAAATTTTCAGTTGAGAGAAACCTGTTTTGTACTAATAAAATTTCTAAAATCCTATTACCCTATTGAGCAGGTCTATTTATATGAGAAACAGCTAGCACATGGCCTCATGCCAGGCACTGCTCCTTGCAACAACAACCTTGTGACAGGTACTATATGATCCTATTATACACATGGGGAAACTGAGGCACACAGCCACTTAGCTCATATATACTGCATTTACCATACTTTGCATTCGTAAGGCTCCATATATTTTCTGGGCCTGTTTTTCTCATCTGTAAAATGGGGGAGAGGGGAAAATTAGATTCACCATCCCAAAGACTTTGCCTTCCAGGTCTCTGGGATTTGTGTCGTGGAAACGGCAGTTTAGAGGCCAGCACCCAGGAGTCAGACCGGCCCCATCAGGGAACCTCCAACCCCCTGTTGCTGGCTCCTGCCAAACCCAGCCTGAAGGGATGGGAGGAGAGGCAAACTGTAGTATGGAATGGCATGACATCTATCCATGTCACATTGTACAGCCCAGAAAAGGCAAGTGACATGGCCTGGGTTGTTGGAAGTGGGAAAGGCAGCACTCGAACCCAGGCCTGCCTCACTCTGAAACTTGGCCGGTAGCCTCCAGCAGCTGCCTCCTCCCAAGCAGGCAGCTGGGTTCCCCTGCTGGCTCTATTTCTAATTCCCTGAGTAAGATCCCTGGTCCCGCCCCACCCCTTCCCACGCCGGGTCTATATTTCTAGCTCTGGGAACTGGTCCCTGGGCCCTTACCTTTTTGCCTTCAGAGAAGCTGTTTTCTCTTGGGGCACCAGGGGGCGCTGTGGTGTCAATGATTCTGCTAGACTCAGGTCTACAACCCCAAGCCAGGTGAGAAGAGGCCTGTGGGAACCCCTGAGTCTCCTCTGCTGCCTGGGTTTATATTTATTTATTTGAGAGGCAGAGTTGCAGAGTGAGAGAAAGGTCTTCAATCTGCTAGTTCACTCCCCAAATGGCCCCAACAACCAGTGCTGTGCCAATCCAAAGCCAGGAGTCAGGAGCTTCTAGGTCTCCCATGTGGGTTCAGGTGCCCAAGCACTTAGGCCAATCTTCCACTGCTTTCCCAAATGCATTAGAAGGGAGCTGATTTGGAAGTGGAGCAGCCGGGACTCGAACCAGCACCCATGTGGGATGCCGTGCCACAGGCCACAGCTTTAACCAGCCACACCACAGTGCCAGCCCCACCCCTGCCTGTTTTACAGATGACAAGACTGCAGCCAAAAGAAGGACCGTGGCCTGGGAAGGTGGAAGAGTTGGACCCCATCCTCAGAGAGTGCACGGTGTGTGGACCTCCCATGTAGGTCACCCGCATTACCAGGGCCCTCTGCCCGCGGCCCCTCTGAGACACTGTGGGACCCCAGCCCTGGCCTCTCTCTCCCCGGAGGTTCCTAGTGCTGAGGGACAGGCAGAGCTACCATGGCCACAGCCCCCTCCCCCCCCCCCGGAGCCCCGGGGAAGCCCTGCCTCACCAGACACCACGTGGCTTCCCTGGGAGGTAGCACATCATCTCTCCCTTTCTCATATGAGGACGCTGACTCAGAGAGAGCAGGCCACACTGCTAGGAAGTAGCCGAGCTGGGGCTCAAACCCAAGTCCATCAGCCTCCCAGTGGAGGAGACATCAGGCCAGGGTTTTGAAGGATGCATAGAAGTTTATATGGAAGACTGAATGAAAAGGAATACGACAGAAAGAAAATGAACTGGATGTCCCCCAAGCTTGAGCTTTGTTAAATTCCAAGTCTCCTTGGGGCAGGGGCTCTGTGCAGCTTCCTGGGGTGGTGAGCATAGGAGACGACAGAGCTGGTGCCTCCCTCGTTCCGATGGGATGGTCACAGCCCTGAGTGAGGGCGGTGCCCCCTGGGCAGGGCAGTCAGGGGCTGCATCACTAATGGACGTCTCCTGCTGGCTCCGCTTCTGCAGATGTAGATGCCCAGGCAGGCAGCCATGGCGGGGGACAACGGCACCGTGCAGGTCCTGGGCTCACCGCCCACCACCTGTGTCTACCGCGAGGACTTCAAGCGCCTGCTGCTGCCACCGGTGTACTCGATGGTGCTGGCGGCCGGCCTGCCGCTGAACGCCTGCGTCATCGCCCAGCTCTGCGCGTCCCGCCGGGCGCTGACCCGCACCGCCGTGTACACCCTCAATCTGGCCCTGGCCGACCTGCTGTACGCCTGCTCTCTGCCCCTGCTGATCTACAACTACGCCCGCGGGGACCACTGGCCCTTCGGCGACCTCGCCTGCCGCCTCGTGCGCTTCCTCTTCTACGCCAACCTGCACGGCAGCATCCTCTTCCTCACCTGCATCAGCTTCCAGCGTTACCTGGGCATCTGCCACCCGCTGGCCCCCTGGCACAAGCGTGGGGGCCGGCGGGCCGCCTGGCTGGTGTGTGGCGCCATCTGGCTGGCTGTGACAGCCCAGTGCCTGCCCACCGCCATCTTCGCCGCCACAGGCATCCAGCGGAACCGCACCGTCTGCTACGACCTGAGTCCACCCGCCCTGGCCGCCCACTACCTGCCCTACGGCATGGCCCTCACGGTCATTGGCTTCCTGCTGCCCTTTGCCGCCCTGCTGGCCTGCTACTGTCGCCTGGCCCAGCGCCTGTGCCGCCAGGACGGCCCAGCAGGGCCCGTGGCCCAGGAGCGGCGTGACAAGGCGGCCCGCATGGCCGTGGTGGTGGCGGCTGCCTTTGCCATCAGCTTCCTGCCTTTCCACATCACCAAGACAGCCTACCTGGCAGTGCGCTCTGTGCCGGGTGTGCCGTGCCCGGTGCTGGAGGCCTTTGCTGCCGCCTACAAGGGCACGCGCCCCTTCGCCAGCGCCAACAGCGTGCTGGACCCCATCCTCTTCTACTTCACCCAGAAGAAGTTCCGCCGGCGGCCACAGGAGCTACTCCTGAAACTCAGGGCCAAGTGGCAGAGGCAGGGCCGTGGAGTCCACTAGGACGGGACACTGGGGGCCTGGGCACCCGTCCTGTGTGGTGCTGTGGCTAGGGTGCCAGGAGCCCCAGCAAGCCAAAGCCTGCTGAGAGTTAGAGCTCAGCCCAGCTGGGCACGGAGGAGGGTCCCTCACAGGCCCCAGATCGTACCAGCAAGTATTTATTGAAGCTTTTCCCTGGAGGCGGACAGGGCTTGGTCTGGGCCTGGGCCTGGCCCCCGAGAAGCTCGGAGCAGCCACAGAGAGCTGGAGAACTGTGAAACTGTGGTGAGGCCAGTCCTGTGACCAGGCCTGTGCTACAGGCCCCCGGGGCACCGGTGCACGGTGAAAGGGGAGCTTCTGGAAAGCGCATGCGAGCCAGGTTTGGAGGGGTGAATATATGCTCTCCATCCATTCAGCAAAACCCAACTGACAGCTTGTGCTCGGGTCTGGCTTGGTTCCAGGGTCCTGGAAGAACCAGTCCCAGCCCTGTCCCACACGGGCTCTGCACTGCTGAAGGCACAGACCCTAACACAGTGATGCCAGGGCTGTGCAGACAGACGCCCGATGGCAGACGCCCACAGGATGCCCCCGGCCTCGTCCAGGGCATCAGGAAAGACCTTGCTGGGGCAGGGAATGGGGGAGTGCACCTGTGCCAGGTGTCAGAGGCCCGGTAAGAGCTCAGCAGAGAGAAGGGGGACACCAGTGTGGAGCCGGGCCCTGCCCTGGGGCATCCAGACAAGGGCCAGGTGGCGGCGAGGGCAGGTGATGCCCAGGCTGCAGGAGCTTGTAAAGGAGGAGCCAGGGACACTTCTGAGCCAGGCAGAGGGCAGGAAGCCACTCCTGGTGGAAGGCACCGTGCACAAACCCCGGAGGCTGACACCAGCAACGCGTGTGCCAGTGAAGCCTGAGGGGTTGGGGGTGTGGAGGTTTCTACCCAGAAAAGGGGGCTGGTGGGACGAGAGTCTTGAATGCCAGGGGGGCCCAGATCCTTTGCCCGCCCCCTTCAACATTGCTGAAAGGTGAAGCCAGGGGCGGGCGTTTGGTGCAGAGGCTAAGCCACAGCTTGTGACACCTGCCTCCCGTACCAGAGGGCCTGGGTTCGAGGCGCAGCTCTGTTCCCTGTGCCAGCTCCCTGCTAATGTGCACCCTGGGAGGCAGCAGTGATAGCTCAGGTGCTTGGGTCCCTGCCACCCACGTGGGAGAGCCACTTGGAGTTCCTGGCTCCTGGTCTCAACCACCTCGGCCCAGCCACGGCTGTTGTGGGCATTTGGGAGTAAATCAGCAGATTTATTGCAATTTGTCTGTCTGCCTTTTAAATAAGGAAAATAAATAAAATCTTTAAAATAAAAAAAATTTAAAAGCAGAAGCTAGCAGCTTGAGACCCGTGGCCTCCAGGAGGTGGAGGTGCTGGGGCCAGAAGCCTGCCTGTGGGTCTCAATACAGACTATACCCAGGGGGCCTGAGGGCTGCCTTGAGGCCAGCTCATGCAGAGGCGGCATCTCCAACATGGGTCTGGGCCCTAAAGCTGAAGGTCCCCAGGACCCAGCACAGGGGCACCACAGGAAGCAGCCCAACTCTCCTCCCCCACCCAGCCCCAGCCGCACTCCTCCCCTGGCCCCCGGCCCCTGTCCCCTCGTCCCAGACCCGCTTTCCCTGGCACAGCAGCCTAGCTGGTGCTGCACGCAGCCCCTGTGAGCCGAACTGCACATGGCCGAGAGTCTTCCTTTCTAGAAGGCAGAGTCGGGAGGGGGCAGGGACTCTGTGTGTGTGTGTGTGTGTGTGTGTGTGTGTGTCCCCGCCGAATCCCCCAGGCTGCTGGGCAGCAGGGCATTCAGAGAAGGACTTCGGAGGAGTCAGGCTGCACAGGAATGTCAAGGTGTGTTCGCAGCAGGCCCAGCCCCCACAGTGTAGTCAATGTCCTGGGTCCTTGCCGGAGAGGCTGGCAGCTTGGACAAGCGACGTTGATCCTTTTGGCCACCGTGAGGTAGACCAGGCAGAAGCTGGTCCCCGTGCCCTGTGCAGGGCACCACCAAGCAGAGCAGTGCAGGCATTGGCCACTTTGCATGTGTTCTCTTCGACTGCCTGTGAAGGGGGCTGGAGGAACACAGGCGCCTGAGACAGAGGACCTCTGCCCACGGCTCGATGGCGGCCCAGCCACCAGCACGAGCTGTGACAGATGCTCTCCTTAGGTTCCCAGAAGGTAAGTCACATTCCCGGCTGCTGTGGAAGGAGAGGAGCGCAGCGCAGCAGGCACTGGCGCCAGAGCCAAACCACCTGGGTGCGCTTCCCGGCTCTGCCACTGGCTAGCTCTGTGACTCTGGGCAAGTTGTTCAACCTCTGCGCCTCAGCTTGGCCAACTGTCAAATGGGAATAGTATTACTTGTCTTATAAAATTGTCTTGAGGATGAAATTGCCTAATCAGTGCAAAGCACTTAGAACAGTGCCTGAAACACAGTAAGGATGCAGAGATTGTTACTGTTGCAATGACTTTACCCTTTTGGAGTGTAAGTTCATCCCGGGTCTGTCTGCAGGAACAGGCACTGGAGGTTTCTAAACAGGGGCTTTAAGCCGGGGTTGCAACTGTTTTGTTTTCTCTCTCACGTGGGAGGCGGTGGTCTTTTAAGAAAAGAAAAAACAGCTCATCACACTTTTTTGAGACTAAGAACCAAATCCACCCGCCCCACCTCTTCCTGCAGGAAGGAAGGACCAGAGCAAGTGTTTAGCCCGGTAGTTACATGTGTCCCACATGGGAGGGCCCAGGTTCTACTCCCAGCTCTGGCTCCTGGCTCCAGTTTCCTATCAGTGCTGACTCAGGAGGCAGTGGCAATGGCTTCCTGGATTGAGTTCCCAGCTCCTGGCTTCAGCCCTGGCCCAAGCTCTTGTGTCCATCTGAGGAGTGAACTAGCAGATTCTCACTCATTCTCCACAATCCTCCCCCGACCTCCGTACTTGGGCCAACATCTGCAGGCTCCTGGGTGGGTTAGCAGGAAGCTGGATTGGAAGCACGGAGTAGCCAGAACTTGAACCCAGGCACTCCAATATGAGATGTTGCTGTTCCCAGCAGCAGCTCAACCGGCTGTGCCACAAGGCTGGCCCCACTTGGCTCTATTCTGAGATGGTGAACCTCAGGTGGAAGCCAGCCAGTGACCTGGAGTTGGTGGGGACCAGAGGCTATGCTGGGGACAAAGCCTCAACCTGCATGAAAGCTGGAAGCCAGTAAGACCTGGGGCCTACCCCACCCCGCCCCCGGGAAGGCACCTGAAGAAAGGTCAAAGCCTGGGAAAGAGTCAGCTCCAAAGTAGCTTGAGGGCAAGGGCTGGACGGGCTCCCTGAGGGAGAGAATGAGAAGAGACAGGGCAGAGGGCCAGGCAGAGCCAGAGGAACTGCAGCGATAGAGGGCAGGGGAGGAAGAGGGGCGTGAGGGTGGAACAGGCTGAGGGAAGGAAGTGGAGGTGGTAGGGACAGAAGAGAGAACCGTTCCCAGGACAGGGACCTCCAAGTGCTGGCCGCTGGTGGCCAGGGGCTGGGGTCAAGGACTGGGAGCCCGAGTCGGAGCTGGAGCCGGGGCCTGTCTTGGGGAGGCCCAATTCTAGCAGGGAAAGCCCGAGGCACGGATCTGTGCTAGCCCTGGAGCCAGTGGGCTGCTTCCCCCCTCTTTCATTTTGTTCAACAAACATTCTCCAGGTACCTCTGAGAGGAGTTCAGATCCAGACCCTCCCCCTGGGAAAGAATCCAGGGGGCTGGGGCGCAGAGGAGGAAACAGTTCGTCTGACAGACAACGTTTATTGAGCACCTGCTGCATGCCAGGCGTCATGCTGGGCTCCAGGGTCCTGTGGTCCAGGAGCTCCTAGCTTGGTGAAGGAGACAGGCAGTAATGAAATAAACGCGTACACCTGGATGTTGCAGTGGGCGGGGGATCTCAGGAGCACATAAAGAGGGCTGGGGCAGGGGAGACTGAGGAGGAGGCGCTGGGGGCCCCGGGGCCCTGGTCTCCGGCCAGAGACAATTTCTTAGCTGAAGCCCCAGATAGAAGGGCTGCCCCAGATTCTGTGACTGTGAACCAGCACTTAGGCTTCTTCTCCGATCCTCTGTTTGCTTACCTGTAAAAGAGTGATAAGACTCCCAGCCCTCCCTAAGCAGGCAAGGATGGAACAATTAGAGCATACATTTCGCAAGGCCCTAAAAACACTATAACCCAGAGAGGAGTGGACAGGAGGCACAAAGAGGCGCCCCATGAAAAGCGAAACCCAGACGATGGAGAAACAGCAGAGCCATTCGATCCCAGCCTGACAACTCTTCCTGAGGCTGGACAGGTGCACGGACAGCACTGCTCTTGCAGGGGCACTTCCATCCATGCGCACCTGGAGTCACGCGCGGATGCTCAGCAAACACCTGGAAGCACCCAGTGCCTCCCTCCAAGACGGTGGGTCGATGCCCTGTGCCGTATTCACACACCGGCCCATCTCAGCAGCCAGGATGAACCCTACTAACATCCAACAACACGGGTAAATCGAGCAGCACAATCATCAGGAGAAACAGGTCCCCCAAATTCCACACAGCAAGATGCCCTTTTTGACAAACTGAAAATGACTAAAATGAAAATGTATAGTTTGAAGGAATATGTAAATGCCGTAAAACCATAAAAAAAGAGAAGCAAGAGAATGCTGAACCCAGGGTTGGAGCTGGCAGCTATCTTGGTGGGGTGGGGTGGGGAGGACCAGGCAGCAGAGAAGCTGTATGGTGAGAGGAAGGTCATTGCAAAGGTCTTAGTCATTTGGTGACATTCAATGAAACAACCGATGAGAATGCGTCATGAACAAAAGATTGTAAGTGATCCAACCGTGTGCACTTGAGGCCTAATGATGTAGGAAAAGGGACAATCTCAGACAGTCTGCTAAGCTTTGGAAATGGAGGCAGAAGCCAGATTTCCCTGAATCTTCCTGCCCTCCCCACTAGACATCTTTCTCTGTGATAGGTACCTGAAGCCCATCACTGGCCGTGACTGTGACCACCAAGCCTTCCTGTCCTGGTGGCTCCAAGCCCCGACCTGGCTGGGTCACCAGGACTCCCGGGGTATCGCTATTGTCTTCTTTGCCCTTCGCAGAGCAAGCACCTGGGGCCCAAGGAAAGGGGGTGATCTGCAGATTCCCTGGCACATGGGGCGGGGGTCTGGCTTCAAAGTCTCCGCACAGTGTTGCTAGCGCCCTCCTCCCCCTCCCAGAAGAGTCTCCTCCGAGGACTTTGCAGAAGGGGCTGGGGTGGGAGGAGTCTGCAGGCATGGGAAACAGCCCGGCCAATCGGATGGGGGGAGCTTCCCTTTGGGCAGAGGCCCAGCCTGGGTCCTTGAACACCTCCCCTCCCCATCAACAGGACTCCTGAGCCAAAGGCCCCAGCTGCTCACCTCAAGGTCAAGTACAGGCTTCGGGGAGCCTGTGACCTGAGACTTCACTCCACCTGTGATTTGGGATGAAGACGCCTGTCCCAGTAGTGGGGGAGGGCAGACGCGCACAGGGTGTGCGGGAGCTAGGAATAGTGCAGACTTCAGATGGTGGCAGCCACTATGGTGGGGGAAGACAGTGACTCCTGGGAGAGCGGCGCTACACAAACCACATCAGAGCCAGAGAGTGACTTGCTGCTCACTTTTCACAGGAGCCCGGGGCAGCCAGGGAAGAGTAGAGACATAGCCAGGGTCACACAGCAGGGCAGGGATGAGAGGCAGCAGCCTGCCAGAGAGCTCCTTCCCTCGCCCATCACCTCTGTGGCGTGCAAAGGTCCCTGAAGGCCAGGTTCCACCCAGCGCCCTCCCAGAAGGGCCTTGTCCATCACCCAAGGGGCTGCCAGAGGGTCCTGGGTAAGCAGCGAGCAGGGCCAGGACAGCTAACAGAACATGCCTGCTCGCGTGGGCAGCCAGGCAATCCCTGCCCCACCCCCATGCCCACTCTCCTCCCCGGAGGGGCCCTCCCCGCCTGGGCTGGGCTGGGGAAAGCACAGACTGAGCAGGGGCTGGAGGGGCCAGAGCAGTGCTGGGGGCAGCGCAGGTCAGACTAGGCTCTCCCCCAGGGGGAGGGGGCGGGGGAGGAGGCTGCTGGGGCCTCAGAGAGATCCTCCTCCTTCCTCAGGCATGGAGGGCAGTGCTTGGAATTTGGGTCACACTGGAGCTGCCATTTCCTGTCTGTGATGCTGGTCAGTCACTTCTCCCTCATGACCTACAGTGGAAGCCCTACTTCCACGGGTGGTTCGAGGATTAACTGAATGATGTTATCCAGACGTGGTAGGCATTCCGTAAGCCATTACTCACTCACTCATTCTTAGGGAAAGCCCTGCTTTTTCAGCTGGGTCCAGGGGCGTGAATGGGATCTGGCAGAGACAAGAGGGAGTGGGCAAGGGGTGACACCCCAGGACCCAGAATAACGTGAGACCAGCCAGAGGACGACAGCAGAGACCTGCACCTTCCAGCAGCAGGAAGGGGCAGCCGCAGGTAGGAGTGCGGGTGTGGCAGTGGGAAACCGAGGACGTTCCCAACGAAGCTCCTTTTGTGTGAGGCCGAGCGCTTCGCGAAGTTTTGGAAAGATGAAGGGACGAGGAAACCACTGAAAAGAAGCGAGGTCTTCCTAACGCTCCGGACTCTTGTAGGCCCCGTGCAGCCGCTTTATGGATCTAGGGCGCAGCCGGTTGGGAGACAGCCGGCAGAGGGCACAAGAGTCACGTACCCTGCAATGCCGCGGACCGAGGAGGCGGGGAGCGGGGCGGACCTTAGAAGAGAGGCACCGCCCAGACCGCAGGGCAAGTAGGGGGCGTGGCTACGGGTGAGTGGGCGTGTCCACGGGTGGAGCTGTAGGAATCGCTGGTTAAGCCACGCTCCGCGCTGGAAAGTCGCAGGGAGGGGGGACAGCTGGGCGCTGGGGAGCGCGAGTGGCGGGAGAGTGGGCGGGACCAGAGCCGGAGCCGCCACGGGGCGGGGCGAGGGGCGGGGCTGCGAGCGGCCGAGTGGGCGGGACCAGAGCTGGAGCCGCCACGGGGCGGGGCGAGGGGCAGGGCTGCGAGCGGCCAGCGCAGCGGTCGGCCCCCGGCACCCACGGCTCGCCAGGCGTGGAGTCCCACCCCTCTGGCAGTCCGGGGAGGGTGTCTGTGTACCTGAGTGTCGGTGTGTACGGGACTTTGTGGCCAGGTCGGAGCCCTCAGGCAGCGGCTGACGGCGCTCAGAGCTTGCGCAAGCCTGGCCAGTCCCCAGGGGCAGCTCGGCTGGGGAGGGCGCCCAGGCAGGCGTGCGGGGGGAGCCCGCATCTCTTTCCTCCTTCGGCTCCTCCCCGTTCCCTGCCCCCTCCCGCTCCCCGCGGCGCGCGCGCCCGGAGCCCACCCCCTCTTTTGGGCGCGAGGCCCCGCCCCCCGCCCCCTTCCCTCCGCCACAAAGTTTATTTGCAACAAAAGGGAGCGGAGAGCGAGCAGGCGAGGGGGAGGGAGCGGGAACTGGCGCGGGTGCGGGAGCGCGGGGGAGACGGGCCGGCCGCCGGGCGGACGCGGAGCCGAGGAACGGAGCGCCGGGACCCCGCCCGGCCCCGCCGCGATGTCCCGGACCGCTGCGCCCTGGGCGGGGGCTCGGCCCTGAGGCGGGAGGGGCCGCTCGGGATGGAGTCCGAGCCGCCCGCGGCCGCAGAAACTTGAGCCGAACCTCTGCGCGGGTGTGCACGACCCGCCCCAAGCCCCGCGCGCCGCGGGCCAGGACCCGGCCTTTGCAGCGCGGCCGCTGCGCCCCTCCGGAGCCGGGGCGTGCGGCGGCGGCGGGGGGGGGGCTTGGCCGCGACTCGCGAGGCCAGCCCCCCCGGAGTGCGCCCGCCGCCATGGCGGACGGCGCGCCCCGGCCCCCGCTGTACCGCAGCGTCTCCTTCAAGCTGCTGGAGCGCTGGAGCGGCGGGCCCGGGCCGAGGGAGGGGGGCGCGGACACCCCCGGGCTGCGGCGCCGTGCCTCGTGCCGGCCGGCGGCGACCGTCCCGGGCCAGCCCTCCCGGCGCGTGTCCAAGCTGGCGTCGGGGCCCCCGGCCGCCCCCGCGCAGCCGCGCCCGCTCCGCAGCCTCTCACCCTCGGTGCGCCAGCTCTCCCGGCGCTTCGACGCGCCGCGTCTGGACGACGACGCGGCCGGCGCGCGGGACGGGTGCGTCTCCCCCGGGGCCGCTGAGGAAGCGGCCGAGGGCGCCGCGCGAGGGGCCTGGCCCAGCGTCACCGAGATGCGCAAGCTGTTCGGCGGCCCCGGCTCCAGGCGGCCCAGTGCGGACTCCGAGGCCAGGGGGACGCCGAGCCCCGACGTCGCCGCGTGGGAGCCCCCGGTCCGGGAGCCCAGGCAGCCCCCGACGCCGCCGCCTCGGACGTGCTTCCCTTTGGCTGGCCTGCGTTCTGCGCGGCCGCTGCCGGGGCCGGGGACGGAGGAGAGGCGGCGGCAGCAACAGCAGCAGCAGGAGCGGGTGCAGCGTCCGGCGGATGGTTTACATTCTTGGCATAGCTTCTCCCAACCGCAGGCCGGGGCCCGGGCCTCCTGCTGCTCCTCCTCCTCCTCCATCGCCTCCTCCTATCCTGTCAGCCGAAGCCGGGTTGCCAGCTCCAGCGAGGAGGAAGAAGAGGGCCGGCTGCCGCCGCCTGGGGCGCAGAGTCCGGCCTACCACGGCGGCGACTCCTCGGGCAGTGACGAGGACCAAGATGGTGAGGGAGGCCAACTCCGGAGAGAGAGGTCGAGGCTCAGGCCTGGAAGCTCCCTGCTGGATCGGGACTGCAGGCCGGACGGCGAAGGGTTAAATCTGGGCAGCATGGACTCAGAAGGGGGAGCCAGGAGCCCTGAGCCCCCAATATCCCCTCCAGCCCCGAGCGAGGAGGGCCCCTGTGAGTGGGGTACTGGCTCACCGCCAGGCGTCCCGGGTGCCCAGGAGGGATCGAGGCCTGTGCCCGACACCGTGGGAGGAGCTTTCCGTGTGGCCAAGGTGAGCTTTCCCGCGTACCTGGCCAGCCCCGTGGGCTCTCGCGGGAGTAGCCGGTACTCCAGCACGGAAACCCTCAAAGATGACGATCTGTGGTCCAGCCGGGGTTCCGTGTACCGCTCCCCGAGCTTTGGAGCTGGGGAGGGGCTCCTGCTGCGGCCCCAGGCTCGAGCCCGCCCCAAGGCATCCATGGGCACCTCCAGGGCCTTGAGGGACGGAGGCCTGGAGCTGGATAAGAGCCGCCAGCGCAAATCCCTGTCCAATCCAGACATTGCCTCGGAGACACTGACCCTGCTCAGTTTCCTGCGGGCAGATCTTTCAGAGCTGAGAGTCCGAAAGCCGGGCAGGAGCCGCGGGAGCAGCCCCCTGGATGGCCGAGACTCACCTTCTGCTGCCGCCACAGTGGGCGGCCCTGGGGAGCCACTGAGGCCCACGCTCACCCCAGTGCCAGCATCGCCCTGCCCCCGCCCCACACTCAAAGACCTGACGGCCACCCTGCGCAGGGCAAAGTCGTTTACCTGCTCCGAGAAGCCCACGACCCGCCGCCTGTCCCGCACCAGCACCCTGAAGCCCAGCTCCTCGGAGCTCCTGCTGGCAGGCCCAGGCACTGAGGAGGATCCACTGCCCATGGTAGTCCAGGATCAGTATGTGCAGGAGGCCCGGCAGGTTTTTGAGAAGATCCAGCGCATGGGTGCACAGCAGGATGATGGAACTGATGTCCCTTCCTGGGCAGGGGACATGACCCGAGGCCGGCGGTCCCAGGAGGAGCTCTCGGGCCCTGAGTCCAGCCTGACGGATGAGGGCATCGGGGCGGACCCAGAGCCTCCTGTTGCAGACTTCTGTGGCCTGGGTACCTCAGGGGTGTGGCGACCACTCTCCTCCTCCTCGTCCTCCTCCTCTGCCCAGATGAACCACCATGGCCCCGGGACAGAGGACAGTCTGGGCGGGTGGACCCTGATGTCCTCTGAGACCCCTCCCACGCCAGGTGCGCTCCGCCGGCGACGCAAAGCCCCACCATCAGGCCCTGGTGGCCCTGAACTGAGCAACGGAGAGGCCGAGGCCTACAGGTCCCTGAGTGACCCGATTCCACAGCGCCACCGGTCTGCCACCTCTGAGGAGCCCTCTGGGTTTTCCGTGGACAGCAACCTCCTGGGCTCACTGAGTCCCAAGATGGGGCTTCTGGCCACCCCAGCTGTGGATGAGGGCTTGACCAGTGGCCACAGTGACTGGTCTGTGGGCAGCGAAGAGAGCAAGGGGTATCAGGAGGTTATTGAGAGCCTTGTTCAGGGCCCCAGTGCCTTGGGGAGTGTGGCAGACAACAGGGTCTCTGGCAAAGCCCCCAAGAAGAAATCTCTGAGTGACCCCAGCCGCCGTGGGGAGCTGGCCGGGCCTGGCTTCCAGGGCCCAGGAGGGGAGCCCATCCGAGAGGTTGAGCCTGCGCTACCTCCATCCAGCAGCGAGCCCATCCTCGCGGAGCGGCGGCCAGAGCCAGGAGAGCCCAGTGCCGCCAGGAGCCGGGCGCAGTCGGAGAGGGTCCTACCTGAGGGGCCGCCCGCCTCCTCCACCGCCCACCCTGACTTCCACCTGGACCCCAAGCTGGCCGATGTTCTGTCCCCGCGGCTCATCCGAAGGGGCTCCAAGAAGCGGCCAGCCCGGAGTAGTCACCAGGAGATGCGGAGTGAGGAGAGCTCTGGGGACCAGGCTGGCGGCCGTGGACAGGTTCAGCCTTCCTCCAAACACGTTCGCCATGCCAGTGTGCCTGCCACCTTTATGCCTATCGTGGTGCCCGAGCCACCGACATCAGCTGGGCCCCCCGTGGCTGTGCCAGAGCCCGTGGGCTTCCCTAGCCGAGCCCACTCCACACTGCAGGCACCATCACTCGAGGATGTTACCAAGCAGTACATGCTGACCCTCCCGTCGGGGGCAGGCCTTGCGGCCACTGCGCCCTGCCTGACTCCGACCCCACCGGCCCCTGCTGAGACCAAGCCCCCTGAAGTGACTCCTGCTAGCAAGTGCTGCAGCAAGCCACAAGTGGTGAGTCCTTGGGGCGGGGTGGAGGCAGGCTGTGGGCGTGGCTGGCTGCAGAAGCCTTTGCGTGTCCTCCCTGGGCAGGTGCCAGGCTGGAGAGTGCTTATCTGGAGGTACCCAGTGGCTTTTGAGAGTGCTAATGACACAGGGCTGCTGTCTGCTCAGGCCCTGCGGAGGCTTCTGGCTTCTGCTGGCGCTGATGTCACAGGTTCCCGTCTGTTCCAAGGTGTTCTGTGTGCTCATTTATGGAGGACTTTATCTAGTCTCTGGGCTGGTTCTCAAAATTCTTATGTGGGTTTTTCTTTTTTTTTTTTTTAAGGTTTATTTTATTCATTTGGTAGAGTCACAGAGAGAGGGAAAGAGGTCTTCCATCCACTGGTTCACTCCCTAAATGGCCACAACAGCCATGGCTGAGCCAGGCCAAAGCCAGGAGCCAGGAGCTTCTTCCAGGTCTCCCATGTGGGTGCAGGGGCCCAAACACTTGGGCTGTGGTCTGCTGCTTTCCCAGGCACACCAGCAGGGAGCTGGATCAGAAGTGGAGCAGCCAGGGCTTGAACCAGTCCACATACAGGGATGCCAGGGTGCAGGCAGCATCTTAACCCACTACGCCACAGCACCCACTACGCCACAGCGCCGGTTCCTGTGCAGTTCTTTGTTGTGATCACGTGGGAGGAGTGAGGGGCAATGGCACCAGCACAGGCTCAGACTTTCTCTGAGCCTTCACGTCCTGTTGGCCGGAGCCCTTGTAGGCAGTCTGGGCTAGGGGCCCATGGTTGACAAGAGTTTACCCTTTCTTGGGGGGCTTCCTCTGGCGAGTCAGAATGCAGGTCTGCTTCTGGGCCTGGGAGAGTTGGGGAGGTGCAAGAGGTTACTTTACAGAGCAGCAGAGGCTGGAGCCTCTCGTGGCCTTTGCTGGGCGACATTGGCCTTTCTCTGTGCCTTGACCTCCCTACGTATGAAATTAGGGGACGGCTGTGTGGACAAGCTGGTCCCTGTGTTTCAATCCTGGTAGCACCGTGCAAATTTGGGGGCGCTCTTGGAGCCCTGTTCTGCCAGAGCCTCTTCCCTTTAGAAGAGCTTCCAGGTGATGAGGCTGTCTGGGGAGGATGAGTCAGGGAGGGACCTGCTGAGCCTGAGCAGCCCGGGAGCCTTTAGAGAGGTGGGCGAAGTTCTGGCCCCCGCAGGCAGTGCTGCCTCTGTGGGTGGAGGGGCCCCCGCTGGCGTACCCTGCTGTGCCTCTGAGATGCTGACCTGCGGGGGCCAGACCCTGACCCCGGGGGCTCGCTGTCCCTGAGGCTCCCACAGGTTTCAGCTCGTCCCTGGAGTTTGGGGCTGTGGGCTCAGACAGGTTCTAGAAGGTGTGTGGCCTGCATCTGGGTTAGAGGCTAGGTTCTGGGTCCTGGACTGAGCTCAGGGATGGCCTGGGGTCACTTCGTGGCGGCTCCCACTCCTGCTGTGCTCCTTGACTGTGAGAAGCCTGGAAACCCTTAAACTCTGGACGAATTTGGTCACTGCCCACTCCCAGCATTCACGACCCCTCTGAACTCTTTCCTCTCTGTGTCCGTCCTGTCCCTGTGTCCCTCCTGTCCTGGCACCGGTGGTTCTCCTGGAGGCTGCAGGAGCAGCAGGCAGCCAGTAGGCATGGGCGGGGTTTGGAACTGTCCTCTGAGGGCCTGTTAGGGCAGCTCAGGTACCCCCAAATGTATGGCCAAGCTAAGGAAGCCCAGCCAGGGGCTCTCTCCTTTCCCATGAAAAGACCTCTGGGAGCCTAGAATGCAAGGCAGGGGTGAGCCAAGGGCACAGGGGAGTCCTCAGAGGAGGCACTGAGACCCAGAGAGGAGCTGGGGACTTTTGCAGGGCTGGCCAGCCTCCCCGGGGACACAGTGGGCAGGCCTCGTCCCTGGGCTCCTCCCAGCCCTAGGAGGACGCCGTCTCTAGCCTCTAAGCCTTCTCCCACTTGTCCAGGCCCAGCTTGCTCTCCCCTATTCCTGGCCCCCAGTGGGGAGAGTGTTGAGTCTGTAATTACAAGGGCAGGGTGGGAGCCGCAGCCCCAGATCCTAGGATCCGCCATGTCCCTACCCTGTGCCTCACCTCCATCTGTAAATGGGGGTAATCGTCTGTGGCTGGTGCGCTCTTACAGAAGTGGGTGGTGTGGTCCTTGCCTCTGTGCGAACAGGAGAGAGGGAGAGAGGACTGCCTGCCCCCTACACACACTGCTCCTCAGTCCCCAGGCTTGGCCCCCTCCCTTCCTCCCCTGCTGAATTCTTTCCCTCCCTCCCTCCCTCCCTCCCTTCCTTCCTTACTTTTTCTTCTTTTTGACTTGAAAGTCAGAGTTACAGAGACAGAGAGAGCTCCTCCTTCTGTTGGTTCACTCCCCAAATGGCCGCAATGGAGCTTCTTTTGGGTCTTCCACGTATGTGAGGGACCCAAGCACTTGGGTCATCCTCTGCTTCTTTCCCAGGCACACTAGCAGGAAGCCAGATAGGAAGTGGAGCAGCCAGCACTCTAACTGGCGCCCATATGGGATGCTGGCGTGGCCATTGTTGTCATGGCAGTGGATTAACCCGTTGTACCACAATGCAGCTGCCCCTCTCCCTAGGACTGCCTGGTCTTTGAGGATCAATGGGAAGTGCTCAGGCTGCAGAAGAGGGAAGGAGTCACCGGTGGCGCTGGGCGGGGAGAAAGGCGGCTTCTTGTAGGGGCCGTGAGAGCCTGGGACCATGGGGAGTGTGCCGGACAGCTCACGGGGCCCCTGTTCTGGGCACAGCTGCTTGCCAGCCAGCTTGGAGGTGATGAGGCAGAGCTGTCTCAGCCTTCTGGCCCTCGTCTCCCGTGTTCTCACTGCTTTCACTCAGGCCCGCGCTAGCCTGGCCGATCAGCGGCTCTTCCCACCAGGGCTGCCCCTTCCCAGTCTTGTGGGCCAGCCTTCCTGTCTCAGGTGCCTGGCACCCGTGTGACACATGCGACAGCTGTGGCTCGGAAACAGGAGGTGACCTGTCTCTCCGAGGGATGCTCTCGCAGGCCGTGAGCACTTTGGAACAGCCTGATGGTGGCTGACGTTAAGTACATACTATGTGGGAGACACCAGTTGTTTTGTCCCTGGGATGTGAAAGCTGTGGGCGTCTTAGACTCGCAGACCCTGAATCCCAGCGTACTGGGGTCTCCCGGGGCAGGGCCCGAGGGGTCCCTGTTTCTTAGTGGGGTTTGCCAGCCACCTGATTTGGGGGTATCTCCTGCACATCCTCTCTAGCTTGAACACTTTCACAGCAGTTATTGGGTTTGCCAGGGCTGGGAGGAACTTTGAGACTCAGAGCCGGAGAGTGCTAGATCTGAAAGGCTGCACAGAGCCAGGCCCCAGCACCAGAACCCTGGCCTTGGTCCTCTCCCCGGCCTCAGCACCTGCTTGCCCAGCCGGCTCCCTTCCTGGCTGAGAAAGGCCTGGGCTACACACTGACCTTCACTTCTCTTGGCTGGGACCCCCCCCCCCAGGAGGGGGTGTTCCTCTCCTTTCCCTCCTTGACTTTTTGCTGTGATTTTTTTCCCATGGATACTGTCTCAGTGCAGGGCGGGACGGTGGGGGGTGGGTTGAGACGATTAGGACATTTGGGATTCTGAGTGGTACCGAATGTCTATAATTAAATGTCTTGTCACCCAGCAGGAGGAGGGTGGCGTGGGGGAGGACAGGCAGAAGGGCTGTCCCTTTCCTCTGTAGCACCCCCCACAACACACACACACACACACACACACACACACACACACACGCAAGCCGCCTACTCCTCCCCGAGGCCCTGGGCTGTTGGGGGCGGGGTGCTGTCCAGGAATGAGTCCGCCCCAGCCTGGAAGGGCTGCGGATGGATCAGGTGGAATCTGACATTTTCCAGCGCTACGTTTCCGGGACCAGCTGGGCTTGGGAGGCTGCTGCTAATCCTGTCACCAGCCCCCTCTCCCAGGGTAGGGCCCTGCCCCTCCCGCTTCCACGATCCCATCTGTGATCTCTCAGGCTACACGTGCAGCCCTGCAGTGGGGCGGAGGCAGCCCCAGGCCGCCTGGCAGCCGAGGCACGCGGCGAGCTTGGAATCTAGGAGCTAACTGGGAGGGCTTAGGATGGAGAGGAAACCGCCCGTGGCCTGGCACACGAGGCCTCCTGGAGAAGGCTTAGCCTGGGTTTGGCCTTGAAAACTGGAAGACAGACAGGGGCTTGAGAGGAGGGCACAGGGCAGGCAGGAGACAGGAAAGAATGGAGCAGCCGGTGTGTGTGGGATTTGCTCCGCAGCCTCGGGCAGCCCTGGGTAGGGTCATGCGTTCGTCCTGTTGTGTGCTCAGGGAGCAGCTGACGGTTCGGGCACTCAGACTCTGGGATACCGCAGCAAACTGAGCAAGGTCCGCCCTTGGGGAGCGCCCAGGCCAGCCAGGAGACCTGTCTCGCTGGAGACGATCATGTTGCCAGCCCAGATCAGGAGGCCTGGAGGAAGTGAAGGAGAGGGTGGGGTGGCCGTGTCGGGGAAGAGCATCTGGGACACAGAGGAGCAGCTGTGGGGAGGCTGGAGAACTGCGTGGCCATGAGGGAGGGCAGAGGCGGGCAGTGTAGACCAACAGGAAGGGGCGGGTCCTGTCGCGAGGGTCTGCTCGGGCTGCTCTGTGGAGGGGGCTGCAGGGGGCCAGGAGTAGAGATGAAGCCATTCAGGAGGGCAAGAGGTGCTGGCAGCGTGGGCCTGGGGGTGGGGGTTTCTGCTGTAACCTAGAGGGCTTGGCAAGGGCACGGGCCCCAGTCTTGAAGATGAACTCTGGGCTTCTCCAGTGGCTAGCAGCTGGTGAGGGGCCATTCAGGGTAGCTGGGAGGGACTGACAAAGTCCCTAGAGTGGCCCGGCTGTGGGCTGCCTTGGTCCCCGCTGCAGACCTGCGTGAGCTTGGCTGAAAGGTGAGGAGTGGAGCAGGTATCAGTGCCGTGTGGCCCTGGCGTCTCCTCTGCAGCACCTGTGACACCCAGCCAGCTCCGGCTTGCACG